CTGAGGGAGAGCTTGTTAAGAAGCTTACATTAAAATTAATTCACAACAACATGCTGTAGAATCCTATCCATCCTACAGGTAACCGTCTACTTACAGCTGCAACGGGGACCACAATTTTCACTGCTAAGCAAGGTGGTTAAGTGATTCACTTCCAATTTTACAATCTTTTTTGTCGTGGCTTTTCAAGCAAATCACTGCAGTTATTAAAAGGAATCGCACAATCATTAAGCAAATCCGGCTTCCCTCATTGACTTTGCTTGTCAGAAGCCAGATGGGAGGATCGTAAATGATGATCATGTGATCCCAGGCCTTTGAAACCATCATAAAGCTATGCTGGTTGCCAAGTGCCCAAATTTTGATCATGTGAATCTTGCGGATGTAATAGCAATAGCAATAGCACTTAGACTTATATACAGTTTCACAGTGCTTTTACAGCTCTCTCTAAGCAGTTTACAGAACATATTGCCCCCAACAATTTGGGTCCTCATTTTACTGACTTCAGAAGAATGGAAGGCTGAGTCAACCTTGAACCAGTCAGGACTGAACTTATGGCAGCTGGCAGTCAGCAGAAGTAGTCTGCAGTACTGCATTCTAACCACTGTGCCACCACGGCTCTTTAATGATGGCTGTAAGTTCTGTTGTAACTTTGAATGGTTACAAAATTGTTGTAAGTTGAGGACTACATATAACACTTTAAGAATTACTTCTTATACTAAAATAAGGTAGTATGTATTCACTTTTTTTCTCATAGGATACATGAATTATTCTCTCCAAAACACTGGGTTCTGAATATATTATTTTTCAGAATTCACAGCCAATGGTATTTTTTCTTCTACTGCCATAGCTGCTAGCTGCTAGTTTTTTGCAGGGACACACAAATGAGAGAGTAAGACAGGCACTTACGTTATCTTTTTTCTGTTTAGAATCATCAATTCAATAACAAGCATGAAGACAGTTGCAGGGCAAATAAAATGTCGTACTATTTCAAATAGTAATATCTATTGACTGTATTTACTATGCTTATGTATTGTTGGCTTCCTAATAACAATCCTGCAACAGTTTGCTGAATTACTTAAAATAAAGCAATAACAATGCCCACAGTAAGTGGATTAAAAATCAGCAAACAATTTACATACAAAACAGCATACTTGAAATGGAACTAAAACAGCAATATTTAAAATTTATAGAACGATGGTGCTTTAAAATATAACAATCCTGTCACATTCCAGTTCATGGAAAACACTGGGAAGAGTTAAATTACTATAATACCTGTCTTGGGTCCTGCAGGATTAGTGCCCTGCCCTAAAAGGGCAGAAGAGGGCCGGCTGGACGAGACAGCTTTTTTATCTGGTACTTTAGTGTTTTCAGATACTAAAATGAAGAGAGAAAAGAAAAATAAATGAATTAACCATATCAATACAATCTCTGTTTTTTTCTCCCTGAGATAATCAATGCCAACCCTTCATTTACAGGTAGTTTTTGACTACAATTGGGACCAAAATTTCTGTCGTGAGTCGGTGCAGTCATATGATCACCATGTGATTGGACCCAAGTTTATGATTTTTTTTTGCTGAGTTGTTAAGCGGATCACTTATGTGCTCATGAAGCAAGTCGTGTATTTGTTAAGCGAATCCAGTTTCCTCAACTGACATTTTTTCGTCGGAAACTGGCTGGGAAAGTTGCCCGTTGGACTCGCCTGCCTGCAACCAGGCTTAAATCTGAGCCAGTTGCCACGTCCAAACTGCAATCATATGATTGTGGAGTGGTCATGAGAGGATCATAAGTCATAAATCATTTTTTTCCGAGGCCAGAGTAACTTTGAACCATTGTTAAACGAATGGTTGTAAGTCAAGGACTATCCGTACATGAATTAGGATGAGGCACAGAATGGCAACATATATCTTCCTTGACCTGCATTCCTCCATCTTGATACCTTTAAGGTGTGTGAAGTCCATGCATCTTATAGTTGGCAAAATTGAGGGACAGTGTTCTACATAATGCTGGACTACAATTTCTAGCAATCCCAGTCAGATGGCAAGTGGCACAGAACAGAGGTGGAATTCAGCAGGTTCTGACTGGTTCTGGAGAACCAGTAGCAGAAATTTTGAGTAGTTTGGGGGAACCGGCAAATACCACCTCTGACTGGCCCCGCCCCCATCTATTCTCTGCCTCCCGATTCCCAGCTGATCTTTTGTTGCCCTGCACAGGAGAACGGAGCTGGAAAGCAGCTTAGTTGGGTGGGGAGGGAATGGGGTTTTTGCAGTAACCTTTCCCTGCCATGCCCACCAAGCCACACCCACCAAACCACACCACACCCAGCAAGCTATGCCCATAGAACCGGTAGTAAAAAAAAAATTGAATCCCACCACAGGCACAGAAAGCGAGGAGCTGTAGTTCAGGAACACTCTGGGGAAATCACAAGTTCTATGACTGAAAACAGATCAGCTGCATCTGCTAAAAAAATAACTAGCCTTCTCTTGACTGGGGGCAGGTGTTAGGGTTTCAGTAAACACATAATCTAGCATTGAATTTTCAGCCCTTTGGGTGTAACAGAAAACAGCCCCTGTGGAATTAGGGCGTCTAATGTAAGATATATCTAAGATATTCTCGGGCAGCTGTTCCCAAAACATGATCTGGGGACCCCTCAGCGGTCTCTGTGGTGGGGTGGGGGTCTGCAAAGTCCAATAAATCTTTTTAAAAAGCTTAGTTTTAATTTCTGATACAGTAAGTATTAATACAGGCAGTCCTTGATTTATGGTCACAATTGAGCCCAACATTTATGTTGCCAAGTGAAAAATTTGTTAAATGAGTTTTGCCCCATTTTACTTTTGTTAAGCGAATCACTGCAGTTGTTAAATGAGTAACACGGTTGTTAAGTGAATCTGGTTTCCTCGTTGTTTGTCAGAAGGTCACAAAAGGTGATCACATGACTCTGGTACACTGCAACTGTGAGTCAGTTGTCAAGCACATGATCTACATCCGAACATAAATCACGTGACCATGGAGATGCTAAAAATGGTCGTAAGTGTGAAAAACAGTCATAAGTCACTTTTTTCAATGATGATGTAACTTCAAACGGTCATTAAATGAACTGTTGTAAGCCGAGGACTACCTGTAGATACAATCTACATAAACAAAAGCTCTTTGGGGCCCTCAATAATTTTTAAGAATGTAAAGGGTTCTGGGACCAAAATGTTTGAGAACCACTGTTCTAAAGAAACATTCAGCATTGCTGTATTCAAACTACATTGGAATGGATGGCACCACTACAAACACATTCATATTTATTTATCACAATAACAGCCTTTCCCATTTTTACAATCTATTTTTATTGCACAGTAGTTCCCATGATTCTTTATTGGCATTACCAAAGGTCAAAAATTTGGCACATTACACATAGCAACCTTACTTACAGTACAGCAATCCACTCCAGTGGTGGGATTCAAATTTTTTAACTATCAGTTCTGTGGGCGTGGCAGGAGAAGGTTACTTCAAAATCCCCATTCTCTCCTCATCCCACTAACCTTCTTTTCCAGCTCCGTTCTCCTGTGCAGGGCAACAAAAGAAGACCCAGCCAATCAGCTGGGACTTGGGAGGCAGACAACAGATGGGGCGGGGCCAGTCAGAGGTAGTATTTGCCAGTTCTCCAAACTACTCATAATTTCTGCTACTGGTTTTCCAGAACTGGTCAGAACCTGCTGAATGCCACCTCTGATCCACTCCAATGGTTATTACATTAGCAGCCATCGTAAAAAGATTGAAAATCATTCCATGCAAAAAAAGATGTATAGTTTTTTAAAAACACTTTTATATTTCCATGTCCCATTCAAGCACACCTAAGGCCATTCAGTGACATGGGAAATCTGTGCAGCCTCTCAGGGCACGTTAGCCAAAATATTGGAGAAAGTGCTATCTATGTAGTTCTTGCAAAAGTTTTTCTACCTAAAACTCCCCCAAATATTATACAGGTACTCCTTGACGTATGGCTTTAATGGAATTCCCCTTGGAAGTCATGATGGTCGTAAGTCAAGGCACATGCCTGACCAGATCTAATTTCAAAACATTTCTTTGTCACAGTCATTAAGCATGTTCCTTAAGTGAATCCATGTATTCTTTTGGGAGGGTTTTTTTCTTTTGCTGGAAACCAGTCCCAAAGTCATAAATTGTCTATGAAAGTGCTCCAGTAGCTGTCCCCTGGGACCAAAGGGGTAGATGCAGTAGCCAGAACTATGGAAACAGGATGTAAGTAGCTGGGCGGCGGTTGCTGTCATCATAACAGTACATCACTAAGCAAGGATTACCTGTATTGTATTGTTTTCCTGATTTCAGGTTTAATATTAAAGCATTCAAACAGGATATTGTAAAGCTCCTGTAGAGATGCACACACATATTATTTCAATGATATAGATTGCCAATTCATTGGAGGTGCAACTGGTACAGGATATCATGTATTTAATAACACAGTGGACATAAAGCTAAGAGAACATCACTTTGCTGACTTTGTCTGAGCTCAGAAGCAGAATAAGATAAACTCTGATTAATACTAGAAGGAGTGGGGTCACTTCGGAATTGCCAGGCTACCGGATAGACTGGAAAGTAGAAACACAACAACAAACCATCTTGGAAGAAGGGTAACACAAGCTCTCATGCTACCCTTCCAAGAACACTGCATAGAAAAGAACCTTAGTCAAGGGGCTTTTCTTATCTTTGTTGCTCTCTGAAGTCCCTATTTAATCACTGATATAAAACCATAATAAACTTGCAATTCATAACATTGCTGAAACCAAAAGCCAGTAAGCTGTATTTATTTGCAGTTCAAAAGAAGCCACTTCAGAAAAGATAAAGCAAAGAGAGCAGAGCTTCTGGTAATAAAGTATTTGAAAGTTCTTCTTTTTCTAAAAACATGTTTTAAAAAGAAGTAATTAACATGATGGCCAAAGATTTTAATTATCTATCTATCTATCTATCTATCTATCTATCTATCTATCTATCTATCTATCTGTCTGTCTGTCTGTCTGTCTGTCTGTCTGTCTGTCTGTCTGTCTGTCTATCTATCTATCTATCTATCTATCTATCTATCTATCTATCTATCTATCTATCTATCTATCTATTATTTATTTCTTATAATTCCTAATGCTTTCCCCTGCAACATGTAGCTTTTAAAATGTTTCCCCATATGTTCATGATCTATATCCATGATGGCGAACCTATGGCACAGCTGATTTTTTTGAGGTTTGAGAACTTTTTCGACCTCCCAAAGGCTTGAGGAAGGCTTCTGCAAGTTTTGCAGCCCAAAAACTAGCCTTGTTTCGCTACTTCCTGTTTTTCTAAAAATAGCTGAAAATCAGCTGAGGCGCAGTGCAGGTAAGGGGGCGGCAGGGGCGGGGTGGGGTATTGTACACGCATGTGTAGAGGGCGCGCATTGCCTTCGTGCATGCACAGTTTTTGGCACAGGAGCCCAAAAAGCTTACCACCACTGAACTCAAGGGTCTTCAAACTTGGCAAGTTTAAGACTTGTGGACTTGAATTCCTGAGCTAACATGACTGGAGGAGGGATTCTGAGAGTTGAAGTCCACAAGTCTGAAAGCTGTCAAGTTTGAAGACCCCTGATCTATATTCCAATACATATGGGATTAATTTCATACATCATTCCAGGCATTCTGATTACAATTTTCAGCAAACTGAAGAAGGATTAAAATTTAAAGTCAAACCCTCACAGTGGAAAGGTTTCACCAATAGCACAATATCTGAAATTGGTCTAGTTGTGTCAACGAGGGGTCATGATTACTGCTTCTGGTAGGTGCCTTCATTGAAATCTCAACTTTGCTTTCTTTGAACATAGACTTCAAATGGTGTTATTATATTTCTATTTACAGTGGTCTCTTTAGCAACATCCTTCAGGAAAACTAATCACTTTTTAAAAAGGAAATATGCAATAACATATATAAAATAATTGAGTAGTTAAATTAAAATTTAGATGGGTGAACTGTGCTTTATATCTAATTTTATATATAATATCTTTATATCTAATCGAGGGACCATTTTAAAAGGTCCAGAAAAATAAATTTTATAGTCATTCTGGCATCAAAAAGTTTTCTAAAAGTGCAGCCTAAGTGAACCATCTGGGAATACTATTCCAGATACAGTTAAATGCTAGGAAAATGCTATAATAATGGCCTAATCCCCAAGCCAACATCCATTTAACTTCAAGGGGTAGGACATCCTGAAAAGACTCATGGGGAACACTTCAACACATAGTAGCTGTTTATATTGCTCATAGGTAGTATAAGCCCCAAGAAAATTGATGTAGCAAAACTATGATAAAAAAAGAAAAAAAACCTGACAAAATTGCAATACACTAATCTAAATGT